ATGAGTTCCTCCGCACCCCTTCGGCAGTCGGACATTGCAGAGCGTACGACGCCAGGCCTAGTGCTTGTATGCTTGTGTAACTTGTGCAGGGCGCAGGGCGCTGGATGTGGCAGCAACCAATGGAGTTTTCCATGGGATCCCCTAACGTCGTCACATCGACGTCCCGTCAAACGTGAGCGTCTGAAAGGGAACGTCTTGGTTACTAATGTAACCCTTGTTACCTGAAGAAGGGAACGGGAGACGTGACGTCCCGCTGCCACAGTTTCTGACCATCGCTGTACGGCTGTCAATATCTCAGCTCCTCAGTGAAAAACAGTGTGTGCGTGCGCCAGCTTCCTGTTTAGACGCGTTCGCACACGCCAACGTTCATTGGTTTGTTTGAGTTGATAGGGCTCCCTGAAGTGATCCCCTAACGTCGTCACGTCGACGTCACATCTCCTGTTATCTCCTTCAGGGAACGATGGTTACATTAGTAACCAAGACGATTTTCATTCAAAAGTGTTTAAACTGTTTTTCATGCTTTTTCAATGAACCATAAAAAAGTATTGGGAAGGTTTCTTTGGAAATGTAATAGATTACAAGATTTTCTCAGCAGCATGTTACGCTGTAGATCTGGCAGATCTGGTGCCGTCATGTGGATGAGAGCACTGAAGAAGCCGCTGCTACAGACACATTATACTGACACCTACTTTTGATTTAAACCCCCTTGAATGCAGTTTGCTTTCTTGTTTTTAGTCTGTGTACCTTCGCTTCAAGGACTAAATTAATATGCATACTCTTACATCATCACATAATGACAGATTCCTGTTGCCAGTGATCCTGAACAAATGTTTCTAGTAGAAATCTGGTTTCTGTAACTTAAAAACATGTTCTTGAGTCGATGTTTGCTCCTGCATGGGCAACATAAACCCTGCTGTTGAGTGAGATGCTTTAAACCAACTCAAGTAAGTATAAAGATGTAATGCATAAAAACCAGTGAACGTGATTTCACCAAGCAGAAAATGTTCCAGGATTCACACCCTTCTTAATCATCGAACAAAATTCCAGACAAATTTGAGGTAGTTACAGTTAATGTTAAGTTTAAGTTAGAGGCTTCTACACTATACTTATTCACGTATCGCTTTATTGATTGATTGCCTTGAAGCTATAAATAAGTTAATTGGCAGAGACAAATTATATGATATCTTAGTGATGGCAGTGTGACACTGAAGCTTCGATACGTGCTTCGAAACCCTGAACTACAAACCTAGAGAACCACTGCATCAAAGCTTGCTTTGGTGCGAGAAAAATCATGTGACATATGACGTCCGAAGCAGCAAGTGCTTCATTGCCTGAATGAATCATTTGACTGGTTTGCGGTCCAATCAGGTGATTCACTTGAACGGCGCGTCTCGCCAGCATCATCTGTTCCTTGTGAGCGAGTGTTTTCCAAGTCTGGAGAGGTTGTGAGCAAAAAAAGAAACCAACTCACTCAGTCCAAAAACTGTTGAAAAAATAATGTACCTCAATAAAAATCTTTGAGTGTTCCCCATCCCAAAAATCACCCCCTGCCAATGCCATTTACACAAGCACACCCAACCTATGCCATATTTTCCCAGCACTCTCCTAAATAACACAAAAACATACATTTATCAATTTTTATTTGTAAATAGAACGTCTCGGTTACGTATGTAACCCTCGTTCCCTGAGTAGGGAACGGAGACGTTACGTCAGAAGTGACGGAGATTGGGGGATTTCGCATAGAAAGCCAATCCTCTTCGAGTATTTAAACACGAGCCAATGGCATGCAATGCCTTGGGGCTGCGGAAATTTGCATAGCGTACTCCGCCCTACTCCGTGAGTATAAAAGGAGGAAGTGAACGCAACCGCAGTATGTCTTCGCTGAGGAGCCAAGACTGAACTCGGCATCTACCCAGCGATACAGCAGAAGTGGCAGGGAGACGTAACGTCTCCGTTCCCTACTCAATACTCCCTACTGTCTCGCCGCTCTATAGGAACGCGCTGCCATAGCAGACGAGAACCCACAGGCTTTGGATGGGTGCTTAGGAGGACCACGGGTGGAGGCGCTCTGTGGACACAGCTGCATCGCAACAGAGCGCTCCACCGGGGGCATCCCAGTGTACCCACGGGCGGCCCCACCGTCGAGGGGGGGAAAGGCGGGGGAGAGATCGCGCTCTCGAGTGAACCAAGAGCGCGATAACTCCGCATGCAGCTCGGGGAAAAAAGGTATTGGAGTTAGCCGTGGCCTTGCGGCGGCAGCTTTGTCCAGATACCAATTATCCATCCGCAAAAGATCGGGGCAGGATGGAGGTTTCCATTCTAGCCCGATACTCCCAGCGGCTCGAGACAGCATGGCCGTCAGCTCGGGATCTGACGCGGACAACGCTGGCACTCACGAAGGAGGCAACGCAGCCGGATCTTCCTCTCCCGAGGACTCAAGCCCGCCTAGTGATGCAGTGATAGACATCACATCATCATCTGGAGCGCTGCTCGAAGCAGCCGGTGCCGCCGAAGAGACAGCCGACCGAATCGAGCTGGCGCTCGCTGGCTCACGCACTGAGGCGGGAGGTGTGGCCCGAGGAATCGTCGGGGCTTTATCCCACACCGTCACCGTTAGATCGCCGGGTCCCCGGGTCGACGGGCCCCCTTTCGTGAAGGAAGCCGATCGAGTAGGGGGGACCGGGGCTCTCACTCTAGTGAGATCATTGAGCCTCGACCTCAGTGTGGAGATGGTCATGCTCCCACAGAAGGAACATGAGTCATCCACGAACGCTGCTGCTGCATGCTGAATGCCCAGGCATACAGAGCAGCGCTCGTGACCATCAGATGATGACAGAAATCTACCACATCCAGAAGGACACGGGCGAACCATCTTTAAAAAGACGTGCCATGTGCAGCTCTTTCACTTTTTATGAGAAAGGAGAAATTCACACTTTCAGCGCTGAGGCTACCAGGGAGAAGTGCAAAGTCTGGCAGACCACTGCTCAGATTGCAGGCAATGCAGAATCTCGCTGGGTACCGCCGTCACACCAACACTGAAGAGGACGCTCGTTCTCGAAGAGTCTTGAACTAGCTTTTAGGAGTGAAGAGGTTCTCTTGGCTCCGAAGCGAAAACATACTGCGGTTGCGTTCACTTCCTCCTTTTATACTCACGGAGTAGGGCGGAGTACGCTATGCAAATTTCCGCAGCCCCAAGGCATTGCATGCCATTGGCTCGTGTTTAAATACTCGAAGACGATTGGCTTTCTATGCGAAATCCCCCAATCTCCGTCACTTCTGACGTAACTCGAAGTGACTACGAAAGGGAACATTATTCTTAGCATTAGCGTGTGCATCAAAGAGTTTTCAAAGGAAATATAGTTAAAAATCCAAGGGTGATCTTAGCAAAGATGCTTCAGAACTAAAGTAGTTTCTCCAATACTGCTCACTGATTAATTTGACTGATTAATTGCAGCCTTGCTTTTCGCCAGGAGAGGTCGCTGCAACTGAAGCTTCGAGTAATGAACCCATTTTTGAACCAATTGGCTCAAGTGGTTCAGTGCTTCACAAAAGCTTCATTTGGCCATCAGTAGGGAGCAGGTTTATCAGTAAACAGTCAGACGAGATGCTTCATTAACTGCAATGTTCTTCCGGGTTTCTCTCTCTTTTTTTAAGGTAATGTAATGTTTGGGTTTTTTTTAATATACAAAAAGCTCAAACGAATGAATACTTTATTATTATTCTATTATTGCTATTATTTTCAAATTCACCGTTTTTAAGAGAGAGGTCCAACAGTACATCCAAATATTTCATCATCTGAGAATCTTGAAGCAGTTACCTTGTTTCAACTTTTTAACTCATTTCATTAAAGTTTTCTGTTCTGTTTTTCTTGTTTTTACATGTATATATAGGCTATATGAAATCTCTATGTATAGGCCCATGTATATTTGCATAAATTAGGGATTTTATTATCATTTAATTGTATGTAAGTTTTACATTTTTGATATGTACTTGTATTTTTGATACCTTGGTATTACATTAAAAATAAGGTGGATAGAGGACCTGCCCCTCCTGAAGAATATCATTTTTTTCCATATAAAGATAAAAGTGTGTGGAAAATGCTGAGGTGCAATAGGTGACTGTCTACAATTAATTTTTTTATTATGCGGGTTGAAATTCTCCTCATATCCTGATAGCAATCACAGTGTTAACCGGTCGAACACACACACACCATCTCTCAAAATCAAGTACGCCAATATATTATTATTACAAAATATTATTTACTGAACAATAAAAGTTAATGAACAATAACAGCCATTATACAAGAATACATTATACAAGCATACATTATACATGAATACAAAGTGTGTAGAATAGTCAAGTCAAATATATTTAAAAAGCACTTTTTACAATACAGATTGTATCAAATCTGCTTCACAGTATCAATCAAAAGAACTTAACAGTGTTTGTTTATTACTGAAAAAAAAAAAAAAAGACATCCAAGTTTGGTGGAGCTGATCAATGGTATGATGGGTCATTTAATTTGAATATCCCCAACTGAGCAAGCCAAAGGCAACAGTGGCAAGGAACCGAAAAACTCCATCAAGTGACCCGATGGAGAAAAAAAAAAAAACCTTGGGAGAACCCAGGCTCAGTCGGGGGCCAGTTCTCCTCTGGCGTTTATGAACTAGAGGCCAAATTTACAGTAACTGTAAGATAAAAAATTTATATGAACGCCTGGCTAAATAAATGCATCTTTAGTCTAGCTTTAAACTGGGAGATAAATGTGAAAATGGAAATAAATGTGAAAATGGTGGATCTGGATATTCTAGGAATGAAAATAAATAAAAATAAATAAAATACAAAAAGGTGATGCTATTAGTATTTATACTAATTTATGACTCAAGACTTGGGTATAATCCGTCTTTTTAGTGGTACGTACGGGTGTAGTGTAGACGCACGACTCACGTACAGGAAAATGTTCGATTGTAAGTGAGTGTAAAGAAAGTGAGTCTGGCAATCGATCGCAGGGCGAGCAGCAGTGAAGCAGTGTCTCGCTCTACAACCAACAACCAAACGCTCCAGCCGTATTTGCAGTTCCAGCCGTATAATGGCTTGAGACGCGTCTGACCTAATTTTAGCTACGTTTGAATCTAATTCTAGCTACAACTCTTTCACCCAATTACTCTTTAAATTCTCCTTTCAACTCTCGTCACCTTAGAAACAAAATAGGAAAAGATGAGAGAAACCAATACAATATTCAGTCAGAATAAAAAATGTAAAAAATGAAAATAAAATACAAAAGGACTTGAAACAATCAAGAAAAAAAAAAAACAACAGCAACGTGGAAAATTGAAATCACCCTAAGTCCAATTTAGTCCTCAACCAACAGTGTCCGTGTATATCAGGTTGCCCAATTTCAGCTTCAGTTTGATGATTCTTCCGCAATTCAGGCTTAGTCAATACAGAAAAGAAACGTGTGCACAGTCCTACAACTCAGCTCAGGATCAGCTTGAGACTGGATTAACTGGAAACAGGCTCGTAATCTCCCATTAAAATTGATAACTCTGAGAGAAGATCGGTCAGACATGGAGCAGACGATGAATCGGAGCTAAAGAAACTTGACTGGGAACCAGATGGACTTGAGAAGGGTGACGTGTCTAAACTGATCTCGCGGTGAGATGGACCCGCGAAGGGTAACTGGTCAGAACTGATCTCGCGGTGAGATGGACCTGGCTCGGTTAAGTCCCTGGAGAGGACAGATATTTGTGGCTGTAGATCTGCTGGATCTGGGTCCACTGTGTCGTCCCCGTAACAACCAAGAGCGGAAACCTTTAGAGTTTTCCATGTTCGTTGGATGAATGAGCCTTTCTTCACCCTCCTTCTTGATTGTTTTTCTAAAAAAAAGAAAAAATGGAAAAATAAATTTAATTACGCCGCGCCAACTTCGGACAGAACAAAGACGACCAAAGCAAATCATGTAAAGGCAATAAAACGGCAAAAAAGTGATGGACTTATAATAGCTTGTCACTGTGTCATGGGTTACAGTAGAGAATCACAAAATCATTTTCATATTAATAAATCCCTTATGTAAACGCATATGACTACAGCCCACACACAAAAATGCCTTTTCAAATGGAAGAAAACCGGATGTGTAACTATTTTCATGCACTCATTCCTAAAAAACTAAATACATTTCAAGGTTCACATTTAATTCAGTCGGATTTTCTTTTTTTCTCTAGAGCTATTAAACTGTGTACCGCAGTCAAATAAGAGAAGTAACACACAACAGTAAACTACAATCAAAATGCTCATTTCAAATCGAAATTTGATTCAAAATCGAGAATCGTTTCGAATCGTGAAGCACCAAAAGATTCCCACCGCTAGATTATAGTGAAAAATAAAATAGATGCTGAATGTTGAACACTAATAATTTAAGGGGAACAAGAATAACATAAACCGTAGACTAGAGCAAAAGTCTACAACTATAACGAAAAGAATGACAGTAGACTAATAATAGACTTACCAACAGCCGGCGCTATCATAGCCCTCCATTTCCTACGGAGAAACGCACCCACATCTTTCTTCTTCTTCTTTGTTTGGCTTTCAGCAAAATCTGAGGGAAGACATAATGAAGAAAGAATTCAATTGTGAGGTGAGACAACTGGAAAAGTGGGACATTTTTCAAGTATTTTCAGAGTATTTCCTCCTTAAAACTGCAGTGAACCAAAGACAGTCTCAAAAACACGGTGTGAAATCGCTGGTGTTTCTGACGTCACAAACCACCTTGTAACCAATCAGATCAACGTGTGATCGTCAACCAGTGGATCTCTGGGCTGAGTGAGTGAGTGGAGGCGGGGCTCATTTGCATATTCATAGAACCGAGCATACTAAATGAGGCAAGGGTGTCGAGTTACATTCAAGCTATTTTAAGGCGTGACGGATTGTTTTTTCAAAGAAAAAAACATTTAAATATGGAATTATTTGGTGATCAAAGATGAGTTTAAAGGGATGAATTGATTGACCAGCGGGGGACTTTAATAATTAGGTACACAAGATGAACACAACACAACTCGGTATAATGAAAGTACTGACAGTAATAATAATGACCATAGACTCACCCGGGACAGACGATGCATCGTCAGGATCGTCCTGAATAGAGTCCGGCGTCAGCTCGATACTAGAGAGACTGGACAATCCTGAGAAAGACATCAGCTCTAGATCTCGTGCCACTGCCGGCTCTGGGTCCAGGACAGATGTGCAAGAGTGTTCGGGATCGTCCGGATCGGCATTAAACGGCAGCTGGACTCCAGATGGACACGGATGCACTGGTGTTGCCCAGTAAAACTCGGATGAATCCTGCTGGACATCCGTGGGATTGCAGGAGGGATATGTGGACACAAGTATATCGACCTCACTGCAGTCAAGCTTTACAGCCTTCCCGATTCTCCGTAAGAAAGCACAGATGCCTTAAAGAAAGGTAAAAACATTAACACAAGAAACCGTAAATACTGAGGCTTGACATCATGAAGAAAGAAGAACATGGGATGAAAACAGTTAAATATGTTCTTCCCAATCATCCTAGTGCCTGATTACACACACACACACACACACACACACATGCTTTCCTTTTCTCCCTTACATTTACAATTACAGCTATATACAATAGTGAACACAAGTGACGTCCGGCCCAGGAAATCTGACATCTGCACTCTTGTCTTGCATTTAAATGTTATTATAAATGTGTGTAAGATTGTGTAGTCATATTGCACAGTTAAGCTGGGAGTTGATTGTTTAATTTGTGATAATAATTCAATAAAACATAAACAATTTGGCAACATCATTTTTGTCCAGGCTGTTATATAAAGAAATTAAAAACACATGCAAAAACAAGAGAACCAACCAAATATTAATAATAACTTATAATGTTGTGTACCATGTGTGACCATGATCCTCTAAAGCAGGGAATAGCACACACAAGCATGTTTCAAACTAATCATAATTATTAAACATTGGATACTCAAATTATGGCTATTCTTGAAATCTGTACCCAATCCTTATTTAAATATGTTATGATGTGTCTTGGAATAAAAACTAAATCTGATTATTGGCTTCAGTTGTATTTTGATATAATATGGTGTGGTCATATATGGTAATTAATGACACTCCAGTGATAATATTCTCCAATGGTCATTTGATTTACCCTCAGCTCTTCTCTCAGGTATCGGTGCAGTTCTCTGGTCTGGGATGATGCCGCTCCAGTCACGGGAATGAAGCTTCTCCTCTTCCTCTGCCTAGGGGGACCATATTTTGATTACCAAAAACCAGGACACTTGGCCCAGCAAACAGATACTCAAAGTTTACTCAAAGATGCCTTATTAATTTCAATACATTGAAAGTAGGCTATTCCTCCTCTGTATAAATAGAAAATTGTTACATTAACAAGACACAAATTCAGATAGGCTTCTCAGAGGTTACTTGACGTTTTATTATGACAGGTTTCAAAAATAATGAAATAATGTCTCTTACAAAAGTAAATATATAATTAATAAATAACTGAAAGAAATACCTACAAATTGAACAAATATATATATCTCACAAACTTGCCAAAAAGAACTAACAAAATATATTTATATCTTTAGTTTTCTTCCTCTTTATCCTGTTTTTCTTCTACATTTTGCTGTAGAGCTGATCTTTCCCAGCAGTTTTTTGAAAACCCCGACATTTTCATCAATTTATAAAGAGCAGCCAGGAGGGCCAGGACAGGACGTGAAAACAGGACTGTTGGTCACCCTACCTTTGCCTTTGCTCTCCGAGAGTCTTGAGAAGAAGTGGACGGACGTCCATCATCTGGGCTCTGCTGGCTGTCTCTCTGCCACTCTCTCTTCCTGTCAGCCGGACCTGTGGAGACAGAAACAAACTCACAAGACAGAGATGTTACATATCCAGGAATAAGCTCATGGCTCTGAGTCCCGGTCGGGCCTGGCATCCTCCTGCAAACAAGAGCAATACAATACAAAATACAATACAATAAAATACAATGAAATACCCCACCTCAGTAATACCCCACCCAAAATACTCAGAAATACCCCACCCCCAAAAAATAAAAAAATAAAATAAAAAGAAACAATAATAAATAAAACAAAACTCCCTCAAAAATAAGAAAAGAACAATCAAATTAAAGCGTCCTCAGAAATAATATTAAATAAAAATAAATAAAACGATGTAGCGTTAGCTAGGATATATTATCCGATCTCCTTCTGGAATAAAAGTCTCCTCTCTCTCTCTCTGAAATCCTCCGAACAGCTTCAAAATCTCAAGTTCAGCACAAGAAAATTTTCAGCAAAAGTCTCTGAAATCGCCTCGACTCTCAACCAACCAACAGCGATCAAAGTGTTGATATTTTCATTCAAAATTCATAAGACGCGTCGCCATAGCAACTCATCCTCGAATCACTCAAATGCTCGCACGCGCATCCGAAGCCGCGTGCGTGAGCAGAGCGCGTGAGCTCACATCAATGACAAATAAGGTTTTCAACTGATAAAAAAAAAAATCTAATTGGTTAAAACTGTACATCAAAGTAGTTATTATCTTTATGGGGACGTTTTTTTTTTTTTTTACTTGTTACTAAAATCTAAATTTTAAACTATGTATTTTAAGTGGTTTAACTGAGAATCATGTGACCACACCAGTCATGCATTTTCTAAATATTATGATATTAAAACTTTTCAAATCAATAATACTTAGGCTAATGAATATGTAAAGTGATGCAGTAAACAATATTTAGAGATCAGAAAAATATTTTTTTTTTTTTGTATTTCTTGTTCAAGTTCTTTACACACATTTTAACACTGCAATGTGAGTTAAAATGTAAAATGTCTGAAAAAGTTTTACAGGACTTGATTTCATGTTATTATTGTTTCCTCAACTCCATTTAGTGAAATTATGCATTTCAATGGAAAAAAAAAAACAGCGTTATCCCGTCTGACTTACGGTATATGGTATATGAAAACATATGAGATATCACATGAATTGTCATTTTTACAAAACTTACACATAATAATGTTCATAAATAATGAATGTTTATGTTATGTAATGTTTTTTTTTTTCAATGAAATTAATTAGGCTCCACTTTAAAGAAATTAACAAGTGGTTTTCAGTGTGTGAACTGTTACACACAAACTCAGTGTGGTTTCTTCCCAGATTTGCAAAGTATACAAATACAGTTAAACCATTTTTTTCCATGTTTATGAATATCAAAACAGCACAACTTAGTTTAAGGTTTAATTTAGTTCTGAAAAGTACCTTGAACCATTTTACTGATCATAGTCACTCAACATCATTATTCATAAATAATGTGGTTAAAGTAGGCGACCTTCACTGATTGCACTGAACATTATTTATTTGAACAACAAATTTACAAAAGCATGTAATTGAAAAATATACAGTATTTATAATGAAAATTTGTATTAATGGGTTGAAGTACATTGAATCACTAAATTTCATTAAATTAACACTAAATGTTATTTTAGACAATGTCTATAGTAAATGTAATGTGACTGTAATTGAAAATTATTATGAATAAAATCATTTGCTGATATTCAACTGAACAATATTAATGATATGTTAGTAACACAATTTGAATGGAAATTATACAAATTAAAGCTGAAAACTGTATAAGAAAAACAATATAAATCAAGAAACAATATAAAATCAATATTGCTTTATGCAGAGCAAGATTATATGCTAGTTTATTAGGATTGTGCTTGAATTTTTGAATGACTCCTTTCAGACAGAGACCAGTTGCAATTAAATGTGTACTGCAATGACATTTTGACTAAAAAGACATAACAGAATAATAAGCCCCTTTCAATATTGCAACTCCAAAAAACATTCCTAATTTAGCAAACCATTCTCATAATTCCCCAAACTTTAAATCAAGTTTTCCTGAACTTCTGAAAAAAGTTGAATAAAGTTGGGGCCAAAACCAAAAATATTTAAGCTTTTTTGACCCGATCATGTTCGCTAAATGTTCCTCCTGCGCAGTGGAGAATTGGCACCGTCTCGTTACTTCCGGTTTCTGGACTGGCTGCAGTAAAACGCCTCTGTCCATAAGGGGGCGCTCGCAGGCGGAGTGCAGAATGAATGGAGGTCTATGGAGCAAAACTCCTTCTTTAACCTCACAAAATAACTTAGTTATTAATCTGATTTGTCTTATTTTGGGTGGGATTCACTATGGTGTTTAAAGTACATTGGAAGTATTTATTAGCAATCTTAACAAATCTGTGATCTGCAGAAAAACAATCAATAAACTTTTCTCATTTGTTGCATTTTTCTTTATCTTTCAAAACTCTTTCCTAGTCACACAAAAGATCTTACTTTATTTTTTCACTCAACACCCAGCAACATACTAATGAAAGTCTTATCTGTTTTCTTCTGAATGACGATGACGAAGATGATGATGATGATGATGCCAAGGATAATCACGTTGAAACCACACTACAGTAATGTCCACAAATCCAAATCTCAAATCCTCCCAGTGTCAACCTGTGGATCCAAAATCCTATACAATTCAGCTTCGGGCTCCAAAACAGTGCGGAAAACCACTGAAATAAGCCACAGGGCCTCTAAACTCGCTCGCATAGTTTCAGACAAGGGTCCCACCATGAGTGACAGAAAGACAAAAGCCACAGTATGTGAAGTCCTTCTACAAAATAAATAAATAACATTAGAAAAAATACATACTCATACATCAACCGGTCAACATAAGAAAATAAACAATGCTTACTTTCGATTGAGCATCAAACTTTCAGTTTCCCAATCAGGACCATTGATTTCTTGGATTTCTAATGCATGCTTACTCCTCCATTACATGTACTCTCTACACCTGTTTTATACCTGAGAGTATTACTCCTTGATGCCCCCGCAAGGTGTGTAGTATAATTACTACAGCTCAAAAAAAAAAAAAAGAAAACATGTAACACTCAGGGTTGAGTGTTACAATACCCATGCAATAACCCTAAAAATCCACTTTTCTCAAGATATCATTTTTTTTATATAAATGTAATGCGAATGTGGTATTTGTATGTTGCGGCTATTTAAAAATTTGATCTGATGTTTTTGGAGTTGTGAGGACCAGTCTTTCACCGGGCTCTCAGCGCTCATGTACCCCGCCTGGAACAGCCTTTCCTCGGCTAGTGCTTCTGACGTTTGCCGCTGGCTCTGATGTTTGTAGTCTAGTGGTTAAACATGAGATATAATTCATCTTGTGTACATGTGGCGATCTTTGGTCTCATTGATCGTATCATTTGTTCCCTGGCAAATCGATTTTAGTCAATTATTTTAGAATTTAGTCATTATTTATTTTATATAGCCTATATTTTATATAGCCTTTTCATTACTATTTTATTTGCTGTATACGGTTTGTTTATTTTATTGACTAAACTATTTACATTTATTCATTTAGCAGAGGCTTTTATCCAAGCGACTTACAAATGAGAACAAAAGAAGCAGTTAAACTAACAGTAGGACAACAATACGCAAGTGCTATAACCCCTCTCAGTTTAATTTTAGTGCAGTTTTAAAGAAGAGAAGAGAAGAGAAAGTGTTAGTACTACTGAATCTGCCGAAAAAGATACGTCTTCAGCAGTTTCTTGAAAGTGGCTACTGACTCAGAAGCTCTGGTTGAGTTAGGCAGATCATTCCACCAGCAGGGAACAGTCATGGTAAAGGTCCAAGAAACAGATTTTGTGCCTCTTTGAGATGGTACCACAAGACGACATTCGCTAGCAGAGTGCAAGTTTCTGGATGGCACATAAGTCTGAAGTAATGAGTTTAGGTAAGAGGGAGCAATGCAAGTGGTTGTTCTGTAGGCAAACGTCAGTGCCTTGAATTTAATGCGAGCGGCAACTGGCAATCAGTGCAATTTTGAGAGGAGAGGAGTGACGACGAGTGCTCTCTTTGGCTCATTAAAGACTACTCTGGCTGCAGCATTCTGGATCAAGAGAGGTTTGACAGAGCAAGCTGGAAGACCAGCCAGGAGAGCATTACAATAGTCCAGTCTGGATAAAAACAAGTGCTTGGACAAGGAGTTGTGTAGCATGCTCTGTAAGGAAGGGCCTGATCCTCCTAATGTTGTGCAAGACAAATCTGCAGGACCGGGCAGTTCTAGCAATGTGCTCTGTGAATTTCAACTGATCATCAATTATTACAACCTCAAGGTCCTCAGGTCCGTATCGGCAGCTGGGTCCCGGCCTTTCTCGTCCCACGGAGGAGGAGATCGGCTTGGAGGATCCTTGCAGGATAGCTATATAATGCTAGTGTGCCCATTCAACCTGATCAGTTAATACAGAAGCCTACACTATAGAGTACACACACACACACACACACACACACACACATTAATACAACCACAGTTGACCACAGTGCTGTAGGGACAGAGCAAAATAATCATAAAATCACATTCAAATTCTATTTCATTACAACAGCCACACAGATAAAACAAAACCCCATTTGAACTCCCAGTAGGAAAACGGTTTGTCGCATCCTTCATCCCGTAATTCTATAGATCTCTCTTTTAAAAGGAGCTTGTAACAACTCCATATGTGGCGTCATATTGGATGAACTTTATTGACCATATTGACTTTGCCAGTATGGACTTTGAGTTTGAAAGACATTTCACTAAAATTTTTACACAAATTTAACCCTGCTAATGTAGCACTCCTGAAAGGGAGCAGGTTTATCAGTAAACAGTCAGACGAGATGCTTCATTGACATAGTTTTTACTTAGAATCAATCTTGGCAATAAATGAATAATTATTACACAACAATGCATGAGCTCTATTATTTCTATACACAAGTGCATGAGCTCGTATGTACTTCTCCTTTAAATCAACGCATCCCAAGTTCACTGTGAATAAATGAGTGCACTTGTCTTAAAGTAGTGCGCATCCTAAAACAGCGACACTGTCTATATTCACAAGCCTCAATCTGACATAAAACACACGTGAAAACACAGATCATATATCGACCTTCAACTCATTTAATCACTTTACTGATAAACACAAACGATTTGCGCGCGAACCGCGTGCTCTCCAGCTGAAAACTCTCGCATTTTATATTGGATTCGCCCCGTATCGTATTTAACTCAACAATACAACACAATACCTAACCTAGCAAAATGAGACTTAGTCACTAATATTCACATGAGTGCAAATGTACGGTTCATGTACCTGAAAGGGAGCAGGTTTATCAGTAAACAGTCAGACGAGATGCTTCATTAACTGCAATGTTCTTCCGGGTTTCTCTCTCTTTTTTTAAGGTAATGTAATGTTTGGGTTTTTTTTAATATACAAAAAGCTCAAACGAATGAATACTTTATTATTATTCTATTATTGCTGTTATTTTCAAATTCACCGTTTTTAAGAGAGAGGTCCAACA